GATCTTTATTTAAACGAATTCTATTAAACACAATCGTATAATTCCAATGTCCAAATCATCAAAAACAGTTGATCCAAATCAAATATCACGTGATCTATTCACAACATTGACCAATCTCCATCAAGAGATCTTAAAACATGAATCAAACACAAATAATAATCCTATCGATCCAAAAATTCTCTCCTGTATTGAATCAGTTTTAACTTCATTAAAATCACTTCGTTATATCGAAAGTCCAAAAACACTTTCTGATATAATTCATACTATATGGAAAATATACATCACTGATTTTCTTTCATTAATTGAATATGTCAATATTCTTGTTAGTGATCAATTTCAACAAATATTTAACTGTGTTATGAAAGTATATGCAACTATTAATTTTCAATCTATCTTTAGAGATGATACACTCTATGCTCATGATAAATTCTTTCGTATTTTTGAACTCCTATCACTTCCATCGATTATAAATTTTCTTAAAAATCAATCTAACAATGAAATTATGTCACATATAGCTAATATCTTACGTATGTTATTACTTCAAATGCAAAATATTGAAGAAGAGATTTGTTTCAAAAAAGATGATTTACTCAATCAAGAATCAATTATTCAACTTCTATTTGAATATGTAGATATGAATTTAATTGAGACTAATAATGATATTCAATTAACAATTATTGAAATATTAGAATTTATTTGGACATTAGTCGATAATACTATTTTAATACCACAATTACTCAATACAAATTGTGTTTCATTTACACTCAAATGGATTAATATGTGTGAATTACCATTTACTATACAACGAGCTAGTATTCGTCTCTTATATAATATTGCACGACATGAAAAAGGATGTAATGCATTAAATGAAGCTGATGCTCTACGTTTACTAAAAGAATTCAAACAACGAACTTTAGATACAACTATTAATGACACAAATTACGAAGATATGCGTTTACTTTTTTCTATGGCATTAGCATTATTAACAGAACCAAAAGAAAGTAAAAGCGATGCAAAATCATTAGGAAAAGTACTCGATCAACTTATGCAAATGACAGTCAATACGGCACAGAGAAAAAATCATAAATATGGTGATTTTGATATTAGTGAACCATTAGTAGTTTTCATAAAACTTTTCATCCATGACGATATATTACATTATTGCATTAAAGAATCTCAAGTCAAAAATATGAAAGTATCTTCGAAAATCGTTTTTTTCTGTGATTTAGTAATGCAATTTCGAGGTGCTCTTGCCAAAGATGATGAACTCGATCAATTAACTTTGACAGCTTTGATGAATATCATTTGGAGTATTTCATTTCATGACGAATATATTGACGAACTTAAATCAAATGCCAAATTTCTTATTACTATCAAAAGTCTTGCCAATGACGATGGAGAAGCTTGGGTAGAACAATATGTACCAAAACATATGTCATCAGTGAAAAAAGCTGCCGCTGGTATTTTATGGAATCTCGATGAAAATAATCCAGGTTAGAAAACTAATGCATTAAACTCTAATCTATTTTATTTTGAATTTAGCAAGAACAATTTGTGTAGCGGAGTCGACGCCAATTGTCGCCGATCAGACAAATCGTTCTTCAACAGCCGCAGTAAAAGACATACGAATGCGCGTCATGGTTAGTTATTCACATGCTGATAGTGATTTTTGTCATCAATTGGTAGACGCACTCGGAAAAGGTATATGTAATCTAGTTTGGAGTATTGTATTTCATTTCGAATTCTCATATCTCACAAAAAAAGAAAACTAAAACACTAAGGTGTATTTATTGTATTCTATTAGATCATTTGTTTTTTCTTACAATATAAATACCTTGACATATGTATACTATTTTGTAGAACATTTTTGAGTAAATAAATGATTGACATCATAGAAAGAATAATATCACTTCTCTTCAATCTGGGAAAGTGTACTGCCCATGGTTAGGTGACACAGTCATCAATATCTAACGAGAGAACCTCTCCAAATGTTAATCGCCGATCGAGCTCAGATTTTGTCCATAAGTAAGACTAGCAAAAGCTCGGAAAGATTCGTCCAAATACACTGTTTTTTTCAACCTCTGCCAATAGTATTTATATGGAAGGTCAACAATAGAATTTTGTCCATCATGGTCACTAAAATCGACGTTTCTTTCTCAAGATATTGAATTTTCAAAGATAAAGGTCGAAAAATCTAGCTTCTTAGAAACTCAATACTTTCAGAAAAAAGCGTTTATTTTATTAGGACATTCTAATGACCATGAGACCTGTTTATGGACAAAACTATAGTCAACAACATAGACGCTATGTATAAATTAGTAAAAACTAAAATGAGAACATTTTTACATAGTTAGAAACTTCCTAACTGAACAGAATGAAAGCTTCCAAAAAAAAAACAATAGTATAACTTTTAGTTAATTCGTATAAATGAGTAGCATTTATTTCCCTAAAAAATTCATCTATCTTTATTGTTACGGTAATATTTTATGGAAAAATACTTTATATGAACAATCAACTGTTCAAATTATTTTCCAGACAATCGGTATGAAATATAACAGAGATGGACAAAATCGCACCGTGCCTCACCGCGCTTCCCCGCGCCACTGCTCGCGCCTAGGCGCTACGCACATCTCTCTTTCTCT